CAGAAGAGTGCGCATTATTGATATAGACAATAATAAATACAGTAAAATGATATTATGTGTATATAATGTGTTTATATATATAAATTAGATGTGTCATTTATTTTTTTGTTCTAGTTTCTTTTGTTTTACGTATTTTACAGCTGTGATACTGAAGCAACCCCAGCCTCATAGACAAACTGCTTCAGGAATACAGCGGTTTTGGCTTTTATAGTGGAATTTTGTAAAAAGTATAATAGTTACATGTTCAATTTTTTCCCCATTATCATCAAGACCCCAAAATAACATTTCTATGCAGTCTAAAAAGTGTTTTATAGCATTTCATTGTGTTTTCTCAATACAGTTTTGTAAAATGTATTATCCGCTTCATTTTTTTCTTTGTCTTCATGATTCCATCATTTTTATATAATTGATATGACAGCTTTACAATATGAATATTCTAAAACCCCAGCTTGTACTGAAAAAAACAAAGTATACTGCTTGACTCTTCATCAAAAGATGACTGTTTTATGAACAATTATACACAAAGAAAACCAGGCGAGGAAAGTTCCCCAAAATGACCCTAAACCTTGGAGGGTATATGTTTTCATTTGGCCGTGTTGCCTCAAACCTTGTCTGATGGCGTGCTGTTGTTCGCTGTTTCCAGTGAACTGGCTAATGCTGCTGAAGGCTGGTTGTTTTTCTGCTTTCTGCTGGTGTCTGAGCCTGCGCTAGCTTTAGCCAATCAGCGCCGTCCCACCGGGGCCCAACGGAGTACCTAGCATGGACTCCGTTGGGTCCCGTAAAAGTTCCTGTAAATGGCCCTGTGGGGGAAGTTCCTGCAGTGGAGACACGGATTGACGGGGCTGGCCCTGGAAAATTACCCCAAAGTTCCTGCGGTGAAAACGCGGCTAATATCAAAAGGTCAAACAAACAACAAAACATGCGGAAACTTAAAGAGCGACTAAACACCTGTGCCCAGCCTTACTCTAAAAAGGGCGTTGCCTGGAGGACCAGGGAACAAGAAGGGAGGCTTAGAGATGGGCGTGGTCTGGGCTGTGATTGACAGCTCACTTGTATCACACACACACACAAAAAACAGACAGTTGTCATTGCTGCTTAAAGCAATAGTTTACACACTAGAAAGTCTCATTCCACCCTCGTTTTCACACTAAGATAATTGTAAAGCTACACATCTGAACCTAAGCCACTGATTTATTGCAGTAGTGGTGGCGGTCAACTGATGTATTTTAATATTAATCCGATAGATGTCGCCAGAATACTCCAACCTGCTACTTTGGCTCATGTGTGAGAGTTGGATGGGTTTATATCACTGGCACCGAGAGACGTACGTCACACAGTACCAACTGACACCACACAGTACTCCAGAGCCAATGGAGAGGCCAGGCACAAAATTTAAATGTAGTGCCAACAAAAAGGTAAGGAGGGCGCCACACACACGGTTTTAGGCTCAAAAGTGAAATTATATCTAATTTGCACTGAAATGTCAAAAGAATAACCAGGTCATGTAGAGAGCACTATAAGAAACAATTATGCAATTTATGAGTTAAAAAAAAGTTGATTTGGTGTTTGGTTGTCCTTTGAGGCTCTCTGCCTGTAACTCCTTTTGCTGCCACCAGAGAGAGTGGTTTCATTGTAAATAAATTGCCACAACAAATTTATTGACCCTATTTTGGTTTTAAAAGTCAGAAAACTTCTCTGAGATTGATTTCAGACTGGTACAGTGGCATCATACACTGTAAACCCGGATCTTGTAATCTTGTGAACTGTTTAGTAGTCATTGCTTACTCTCATACGTTTTTGTCAAAATAGTTTTGGCTACTAATCTTTATGAGCTGTTTGTACTACTTTGGCGTGACGCTGGTTTGAAATAATGATCAATCAACGTTTATTTATAGAGCGCCTTTCCTACACAAGGCAACGCAAAGCGCCTCACAACCCATATAACATCATGCATAAATCATCAAACATTAGAATTTAAGTAAACATAAAAAGACAGATTAAGAGCACAAGATATATAAAATCACACAAGTAGTTAAAAACCGTAAAACATTAAAATCACACAAGGGATTACAATCATAAATAATCATAAATAATCATAGCGCATTAAAAAGATTAAAGATAAAAACAAATATAAAATCATTCACTTGTATGCACAGCTAAAAAGAACTGTTTTCAGTTCAGTTTTAAAAACTGCTAGAGTAGACGCCTGTCTCACACTCTCGGGAAGACGGTTCCAGACTCTAGCTGCATGAATCTGAAACGCAGCCTCCCCATGTCTAGTTCCGACTCTTGGCACTAACAGAAGTCCAGTCCCTGTGCTCCTCAGAGCCCGAGTTGGTTCATATGGCACCAACATGTCGCGGATGTACCCTGGTGCGAGGCCATGGAGAGACTTGTACACAAGTAAAGCTACTTTAAAATCTATTCTCTGAGCCACAGGAAGCCAGTGCAGAGACCTGAGGACCGGACTAATGTGGTCGTACTTCCTGGTTCTAGTCAGGACTCGAGCTGCAGCATTTTGGATGTACTGCAGCTGTTTTACCGCTTGTTTAGAGAGACCTGTGAACAAGCCATTGCAGTAGTCCAATCGACTGGAGACAAATGCGTGGATAAGAATCTCCAAGTCTGCTTTAGACACAATGTTCCTAATTTTAGCAATGTTTCTTAGGTGGAAGTAAGCTGATGATGTCACAGATGATATGTGGCTATTGAAATTTAAGTCTGAGTCCATTATTACTCCTAGATTTCTGACCTGAGTTGAGGGTTTTAGGGAGAGAGACTGGAGGTGGCAGATAACGCTCTCTCTTTGTTTTTGAGGTCCGAAAACAATAATTTCAGTTTTTTCTGTGTTTAGCTGGAGAAAGTTATTTTGCATCCAATCACTGATTTGTTGGATACAGTGAAGGAGCGAGTCCACTGGTCCATGTTCTCCTGCTGTCAGGGACACATAGACCTGAGTATCGTCAGCATAATTGTGATAGGACACGTTATTACTGTGTATTAACCTACCCAGAGGCAGCATGTAAATATTAAACAGGAGAGGCCCCAGGATTGATCCCTGTGGCACTCCGCAGGTTAGGGCCAGATGGTCTGAGATACAGTTTCCGATCTCCACAAAATACTTTCTGTCCTGTAGGTAGGATATAAACCAGCTTAGGGCTGTTCCAGAAACACCAACCCAGTCCTCAAGTCTCTGAATGAGGATACCATGATCGACAGTGTCGAAAGCAGCACTTAAATCTAACAGGATAAGAACTGAGACTTTTCCTGCGTCAGTGTTAAGTCTGATGTCATTTGTTACCTTCACTAGAGCGGTCTCTGTGCTGTGGTGGGGTCTAAAACCAGATTGGAACATATCAAAAGAGTGATTGATTATTAAAAATTCTGTAAGTTGTTGATAGACAACTTTTTCTAGAATTTTACCCATGAAAGGCAGATTTGAAATGGGCCGATAATTTTTAAGTGCCAAGGCATCCAGACTCCTCTTTTTTAGGAGGGGTCTGATGACTGCCGTTTTCAGGGCCATTGGGAATGTTCCAGATTCAAGAGACATATTTACTATATGCGTGAGTGAAGGTAAAAGACTGCTCAGAACAGATTTAAGAAATCTAGGAGGTAATACATCCAGGCTACATGTAGAAGAACTCAGACTTGTAATTATCATTTGGACAGTTTCATTTTGTACTGGTGTAAAGTGTGTCAGCCCAAAAAGCTTCACTGGCTGTTGGATTGTAATTTCTACTGTGGAGGTGATGGCATTTTTGATGCCTTGGACTTTGTCATTAAAAAACTCTGCAAACTCATTACATTTGGTTTTGGAGGTAAGCTCTGATGGCATCTTAACAGGGGGATTTGTTCAATTTATTTACTGTTGAGAACAGAACGCGTAGATTGTTACTGCAACCTTCGATTGTTTCGGAAAAATAAGTTTCCCTCGTTCTACGTAGCACACTGTTGAACTTGCACAATGCATCTTTGAAGATCTCATGGTCAACTTGGAGATTTGACTTTCGCCACTTCCGCTCGGCTCTCCGGCACTCTATATATTTATATTTAAAACTGAAAGTACTATGACATTTCTGAACCCGACTATCAGCCAGAAAAATCACAATAACCAAATGGGCAGGGATAAGTAATAGGCGACATCTGGATTTTTGAAAGCACTGGTGATGGCTTGGATACAGGACAAAAGCAAGATTGGGAATACAAATAAAATATTCTTTGAAATAGTATTTAATCACAGCGAGAAAAAATAAAATAAAAATAAAGATGCAGTACTTCAGTTGTTGCAGGACTTACCCTGACAATGTTTAACCTAGATTTGCACATTGTCAGAGTAGAAGCCCATCTCACATTTTCAGGAAGACTGGTCCAGATTTTATCTGCATAAATCTGAAACGCTGCCTCCCCATGTTTAGTGTGGACTCTTAGCACCAGCAGAAGGCCAGTCCTGGTTCACATGGTACAGATGCACTTTGATGGAAGGCCATGCAAAGACTTATAAACAAGCAGAGCTACTCTAAAGTCTAAAGTCTATTCTCTGAGCCACAGGAAGCCAGTGAAAGGACCTGAGACCAGGACTAATGTGATCGTACTGCAGCGTTTTTAGTTCACTACAGCCCTTTTAAGGAATCTTTAAAAACACTGAATTTAGATCTAGTCAGGTGTCCCAGAGCTGCCCACATATGTCTGACAAATTTGACACAGACCAATAGTTGGAGAGGATATGTTAAATAGTAAACACATGGACCCATTGACACATACCAAAAGCATGCAATGACTGCAATCTCTCAGCTGTGTGCATGCGCGTACCGAATGCATTGTAGACATGTAAAAAATGTAATGTTATAATTCAATTCAAGGTGCCCTTTACATTATAGACACACAGCAGAGTCACGCGCCACAGCCCATGGATGCTTCATTCATCCCATCCTTCCCTTCTTCATTCATTCATTCATTCATGAATTCATTCATCCCTTCACCTGAGTCTCCCCTTCCAGCCCTGTCCAGCGGCTTCGCGTGTCTTCTCACGTTTGGCTCGGCGTCCCAGATCGGGATCTGAGCTCCCGTCCTTCGCTGCGACCCGCAAATCAGATCATGTCGCTTGTCTAGGCGTCCCACACAAACATCCCTCGCGGAGAATCAGGCCTGAGTCGTTGGTTTCAACTGGCTTTGAGTATGTGTAAAGATTCCAGCGGTGAAAGTGCGGTGAAAGTGCGGTGATGAGGCGAACGCGTCAGAGCAGAGGAGTTTGTCTGGGGCTGATTACGCACACGTGTGAAGGACTTCCAATGAGTCCACAGTGAACGATCACTTATAGAAACATATTTATTTATAAACGGAATGTAGGATTATACATGTGCGTGTTTTAGGCAGACAATCCAATTTTGGACACAATACTTTCAGAAGTAGGCATAGTTGTAGAGAGTACTATTGACAAATGTAGGCCTTCTACGTACATACAGACAGACTCACAGTTAATTTAGAGAAATATCTAGAAAAATGGTGTGGACTAAAAACATGAGCACATATGTATATGTAGATATGTCTCATATATGGCGTTTAGATATCCACTGATAATACATTCCTGTTATTTTAAATTTTCCGGTTTAACAGAGGCTTACATAATGTTCAACAAATAATTACAAGTTGTTTACTTTACTACGCATTTCAGAACCTGGGACAGCGCCACGTCGTTTCTTTGCCTCCATCTAGCGGTTACAGGTGAAGTACTCTACTCTCTCTGAACTGTGTCTTCTGGGCCTGTTTAACTGGTACCAAGTCATATTTTAGTACCTGCTTGGTCCTGTTTCGCTCCAAAGTGCTCTATCTCACAGCGATTGCCATGCAGAGTTCTGCTGTAAGCCATGGTTAGTGAGGAACTTCCCTCAGTTGATTAAGTATAGTGGAAACCAGGCAAAGTAGACCTTAAAATGTGTTCTGGATGGTTCTGGATGGTTCTGAGTCTGCTAACTGTCTGGGCCATGCGCGTTGCTGCTTTGTTGGGAGAGGTCTATGGTGGGGAGACTGATGATTTTGGATGCTGTCTGTGTGACTTTGGTAAGTTTATTTCTATTGGTGATGGTGAGCATGTTGAAGTTACAGGGTGAGCAATGCAGGAGATTTTATACGTAAATCTTCAGAACAAACTTGGTGACCCTCTAACTGCAGAACGTATGTCAGGAGAGGATTTAGGAGAGAATAATGTTGGAAAACGGTTCAATCTGGGCACAGGCAAAACTCGAGGACCACAGTGATGTCACCGGGACCGGTTTACTGATCAAAGTAAAGCAGGCGTGATCTAGTTAACGTGATCCAGACCAGCAAAATCACACCTTGGTTCGATTCCACTCGGTCAGAAGGTAATTAGAGAGTGAAGGATCTCTGTCGGCATCGTGTGGAGAGAACAGATATGGCCAGTATAAATAAATAAAAATATAGTGCTTTTGTGACCTAAGTAAGATGTGCTAGATAAATAAATATAACTTACTAAATTATGTGAATTTAAATGCTTCTCAAGTCCCACTTTCCTGTTCTTTTGGGGGGCTGGTATCACTAGAGGGCGCTGTTGTCTTGTGTAACAGTGAACTGCATTCACACTGTGAGCTGGCGTTACACCACTTCACCAGACTGCGTTATTTGCACAAAAGATAAAAACAAACAAACATGGCTTCACTTGGCGTTACATAACATTAAGAGGACACGAGGATAAACCATAGAGTGTAAACAGGGTAAAGATGTAAGAACAGAGCAAAAAAAGCAAATATGTGTGTTTTACAAAGCGTCTGATGTAATTTCCAAGAAATAAGACACATTATATTTAGTGGTATCTTTTAGTGAAAAATGATAACGAGACTATTAAATTCAACCCAATTCAAAACTATTATTTTTTTTACTCTATATAACAACAGCAGTCGTCTCTGAGGACTTTACAAAGTTGTCAATTTGCCGTCACAAATCAGAAAATCAAAATGTTGAAACACAGAAAATGTAATTATAAAAATCACAGCGCAGTTGGTCCATAAGTCCAATGTCCAATGTCTGGATCATCATTGTCCTTAAAAACTCTGGCATTGGCAAGAAGCAACTCAAAAAACCCAGGAAAAATCTCCAAAAAAATGAGAAACCACAGGTCCTCAGGCCAATATTCATCCCACCTATGAACAGGTTGTAGATCCAGGACTGAGGCTGTAGATCCAGGACACAGGGTATAGTAAGTAAGTAAGTTTTTATTTATATACCGCCTTTTCACTGCAGATCTGAGTCTCAAAGCGGTTTACAATTGTTAATTTTGGGCATTTGTCTCTCACTCCACACAGAGATGGGAGCGGGGTCGCCAGTACAGGAAGCGCATGCCAGAACTATTGGACATATTTTTAGTGGTAGGGGAAACCGGAGTACCCGGAGGAAACCTACGCAGACACAGGGAGAACATGCAAACTCCACTCAGAAAGGCCCTGGTCCGACCGGGATTCGAACCCAGGACCTTCTTGCTGAGAGGCGAGAGTGCTATCCACTCAGCCACCGTAAAGATGGCGCCGTGGCAAGAGCTCTGGTGTGTGTCTGGTGCACACCGGGGTAGTCTTGCACAGTTTTTCCAATGTGGTTTTACCGCAAATGGCAAATAAATGAATCTGAATCTGAATCTGTGCCGCCGTGTCCTATAGATTCAGACTCAGGCTTAAGACACTCTTCTTCAATTTAGCATTTGGTTAGGTTGTTTGTCCGGTCAGGTCTCGTCCGGTCTTGGAGTCTGCGTAGATGGAACCCAGTCCGCTGCATCTTCAACCCTACCTTCTAGGCTAGACTAGTTTAGCATATGGCATATGGTCAGGAAGGTAAGACTCAGGGAAGGCTAAAAAATCTTTAGACTGTCAGTCAAGCTGCATAGAAAGTCAGTTTGCTGGGAGAAGTATGGTAACTTGAGCACTATTCTCTCTTCTTTCCTGCTTTATCTGTTTAGCATTATTAGGATTTTGACTGTAGTCTGTTCATTCCTATTCACCTGTTGTCCCATTGTCTGTTTCGTGGACGACGGGACCTCTGAACCTGGCCTCCTCCATCTACACCTGTGGACTGCCCTGCCCGACCCGCCTGGGAGTGCTTCAGTCCTGTACCGGACCCGTCCACGTTCAGCGCCGCTGGTCCACGTTCTATAGCTTAGGTCCTGGATCATTAGCCCGTCCGTCCATGTGGAGCGGATCCCTTTCTCAGTACGTGGATCTCCCCGCGGTTTCTCACTTTTTTCCCACTGGGTTTTTGTGAGTTTTTCCTTGCCGATGCAGGAGGTCTGTTGGGCAGTTAGTGTCCAACAAAAAGGATGTAGTGATGATCCAGGACACTTTTGTTCCATTTTCTTTTTGTGTTTTAACTGTTGATTCTCTGATCTGTGTTGGTGATTTCAATTGTTTTGTTAAGTCCTCTGAGATGACTTCTGTTGTGACCTAGGGCTATACAAGAATAAATTGTATTGTATTGTATTTAGTTAGCTATGCTCCAGATTGTAGGTGAGGGATGTGAGGGATGATGTTGTTTCATGGAGAAAAGCTCCAAGTATAGATTGTCTATAATATGTGTCTTTTAAAGGGGATGGACTTTGGATCAGACATTATTTTTGGAACATAAAGGCAACTTTTTAAAATTTTATCTTCAACCAGCTCTTTTAAAGTGATTGTCTGCAGTTTGTCAAAAAAAAGAGAGAGAGGTACATGATTTGAAAAAAAAAAAAAAAAAACACCCAACTCCCTCCCCCTTCCTTTCTGATTGGTCTATGCCTACGTTTCCGTAACAATCAATCAACACATTTAATTGTTAATCAGAGAACACATTATACTTATACATTATTAATACACATGCAAAGGTTTTTCAGAATTATTTGTTAACGTTTTTGTGACAAAAATAATGTTTTAATGCACAAAAAAAGAGATCGTGGCAAACCCGGAAGTAGCTATTAACATTAATCTAACATTATAGGACACATCTGGAGAGGATCTGATTATGGATATAGGTTCAGTTTATAAATGATTATGGATATAGGTTCAGTATATAAATGATTATGGATATAGGTTCAGTATATAAATGATTATTGATATAGGTTCAGTTTATAAATGATTATGGATATAGGTTCAGTTTATAAATGATTATGGATATAGGTTCAGTTTATAAATGATTATGGATATAGGTTCAGTATATAAATGATTATGGATATAGGTTCAGTTTATAAATGATTATGGATATAGGTTCAGTTTATAAATGATTATGGATATAGGTTCAGTTTATAAACTGGTAACTCAGCGCGGATGTTCAGAATTCTTTGTTCAGTTTTCATGTAGTTCCAGAGCCTAATAGAGGCTTGATTTTGAGGCTCCGTCAAAACAAACAACTGAGCATGAGCAGCTACGAGCATCAGCGCTGATGATTGACAGCCCTTGGCATGGTTAACGTGGACAGCATCGTGCATTTTGAGCTATAGCTAAGAGAAGGGAAGGCGGGACTTACCCGTAATATTAGAATTCAGAAAATGACTTATTCTATATCAACTTTTAGGTCAATTTAATACAATTCTTAAAATTTGTAATTCATTCATCACTTTAACTGTGAGCTCCTATGTTCTATAACTAAAATACTTATAGTTTTTGATAATAATTTTAATGACTGCACATTGCTTTACAATCCAAGCATGCAGCCGTTACTTTTCAGTGGTTAAACCCCTCACATTCCTGTTTGGTCTTTGAGAGGGGCTGTCGTCTTCATCTCCTTCAGCGAGAGCTCTGGTGATTCAGGAGAATATCAATAACTCAAAAGCTCAGGCCTGAATTGAAGATGATCCTTTTCCAATCTGCATTTATTCCTTTTCCTCAGACGACTTTTAACCTCGAAGCTTCACTGAGCCCGAGGACAGAAGAGGAGAGAGAGGAGAGGATTGGAAAGAGAGGAGGGGATAGGAAAGGAGAGGAGAGAGAGGTGAAGAGAGAATGAAGAGAGGGGAGGAGAGGGGAGGAGTAAGAGGAGAGAGAGAAGAGAAAAAAGGGGAGAGGAGAAAGGAGAGGTCATGAGGGGAATGTGTTACAGTCAGAACATAAGCCGTTTGTGGCTTGTCAGCCCAGAGCCAT